TACCAATAATTCCTCTTACTCGGTCATGATGCCATGCAAAAAATGTTACTTCAATTTTTTTTATATGAAAAAAAAACGTAAAATTTGACTTAGTTTTATCGGGAGCAATTATTTTTTATCACTTGATCACTACGGTGAAAAACACTGACCGTCATGATGTTTGTGACGCATTATTTGACCGGCATGTGTCCCGGGTCAAAGACTCCCTTAACAAATCAAAATGCCACATGGTAATGCCGATAGAACCCAAAGTTTTCCAAATAGCAGTGATCATAAAAGTTACATTGCAGAAGTAAAGCGATGTTGTAGCAAGATGTGTTGGTATGAATTTCAGATAAAAACTACATGATGATTTTCAAAAGAGGTGATTAACAATTTTTAAAAAGGAAAAATAAGTCTTGAAAAAAGAGTTTTTACATGATTAGCAATGATAACAGTTCAAATGTATTTTACCCAATCACGTAATAAACACGTTGTTTTTTCTTGAGTAAACTGATTGTGAACTCCGCTTTGCCCATGTTATATCAGGGTGGAATTGATTTTGGAAGAATTTAGCTTTCAATCCAAAGACTGCGTCTATCGTCAGAAAGTATTTACTCGCAAACAAAAAAGTGCTAATTTTACAAAACTGACTTGTATTGTTTGTATTAATACAAATTATTATCCACAACTGGAAGGATGTGTGTTGGTCGGTACGTAAGTAAGGTCAGACTTTTATTATCCCTTGTTTCGCGAACCCACCTGAATGAACAGGAGCCGAAAATGAAATAAAAAACAAATTTTATTTCAGCGTAATTTCTCGCGCCCGCCGACTTGTAAGTGCAAAAAATTGCTAAAAAAAATTTTTTTTTTTTCGCCCGCCGCATAACAAACCCAAGTTGCATTTTCGTGGGAGTATCATGATCAAAGTACCGAAGTCTTGCGCAGATGAGAAACAAGGTTATACGTGGAATAACATTTTATTTCATTTCTTCTCTCCGATCAATGATCTCACTTACAATTCTTTGAGAATCACACAAATCTAAAAAAAAAATTTTTTTATTCGCCCTCCTCAACAAAATTGCCTTATAAAAACTCGAGAAACAAGAAACAAAAAAGTCTGGCATAAGTATAAAAACAGTAGAACAATAGTTCTGGTCAAAAGCGTTTCCGTGGTGGTCACTAATTTTGAGTGCTGGTCGGGCTGACCAGCGTGACGAGATCCCTGATAGCTATGCATTTCGCACTTTATTTTCGTAATACAGTGCACCGGATTAACAATGAAAAAAGCACTGTGGCGATCTTGCTAATCACCGTGGTGGTGTCAGACTGGTGTGGCGGCAAATGGAAGCACTGTGGTGGGACCGCCAAGCTGTTTACATCCTTTGGAGAACACTGTTTTTTTTATTTTGTTCTATACTTCAATATGTAAATATGGTGTGGCAGTGTTGAAAACCTGAATGAAAAAAACAGAAGTGAGAGCGCCACCAGTGTTTATAATGTGTATCAAGTTATGCACTTTACACTATGACCTTTCAGATCTTTGATTGGTTGAAATTAATCGTGTGGTGCAATTTGTTGCCATATTTGAAAAAAATTGCATTATGACAGCAAAATTATTTTTGCATTCTGATTGGCTTGTTTTAACCATCTGATACACCTAGCTACCATATATGGAAAGTCTGATTTTGCATTATATAACACATGATGATCTTTCAATGTTTAGAAGTGACAAAGTGATAAAGATTTTAATCATTGAAGGACAGTCAGATGGTATACTGCATTACTGGAAATAAAATAGAAATCTGATTTTGAAAATTTACCATTTTTATATATTTTTCTATTTTTTTCAGTTGGTGAATTGATTCAGTTTTCACCTAGTGGTGATTGTTACATAGTGGTCTTTGACAGTAAACTTGATGTGTACAGTCTTGCAAGTGCTAGTATAAAACATACCATTGACGTTGGATTCAAAGTATTCACTGCAGTCTTTATATCTGTAAGTTACACAGTGACCCCTTGCTAAGTCGCGGGTGTTGGGTTCCAAGCAAAAACAATGACTTACAGTGCGTTACAACTTACTGTGAAAGGGGAGGTTCATGCATTTCAATAGAATAAAAAGTACACATACACACATGGGTTTATTTATAGTACGTTTTCTTTATGAAAACATCACATCTTTATCTATATCATTGTCGGATAATTTCGCACATTTTCCGTTCAGTCTTCCATCTTCGAAAACATTTTTTCTTCAATCTTTACCCACCATCGAATAGTAGACCCACCAACTGCTAGATCACGTGCAACCCTTGACTTGGTTTCACCTTTTCTTGACACGGTCGATCACTGTGGGTTTATGGCGTACGAACAGACTGGATAGCTTTCGCTTAGACATACTGCTCAGTTGAGAAATATAAATCAGAATGATGGATTCTACTGTAGCGTGTTTTATATCAAGGGGGGAAAGGCCAAGAACTACATAAAATCGCCTGTCGACACCTTGGGTCAGGCCGCCGTCAGCCTTTGTATCTCATGAATGTACAAATTTCATAAAGCTCCCACAAAAGCAGATTCACAACAATTAATGTCTCTCTGTTCTGAATGACTATAGGTATATGTACATCTTGTATGCTCTTCTAAAGCACCACTGTATTTACAGTTTATCTGGTGAACACTTAGTAAGCGATTTCTGCGATGTTTTATTCACAGGAAGATATTCTCGCCGTGGGAGGAGAGAGCGAAACTATTAAAATATACAGCATTGAAAATGAGAAATGTGTGTGTGAATTCAAAGCTCATGAGAAAAGGTAACCTTTTTCTTAATCCTAGTCGTATGTGTAATCAGTTTGAGAAAAAATACTTTTAAATATCCTTTAATTGCAATGCATTAATTATTGGGAATTGTCTGAAATAATTGTAATGCATTATGATGCATTGTGGGTAATCATACAAATTGCTAAACCATACTACCACCTTTCATGTGGAACAGGTCTATACCATGATGAATTTCTCTCACATTTAATATGTAGTTAGTGAATTATTTTGTCATGTACTACAGTACTTGTAAATCCACCAGCCAAGTATACACAAACTGCAACATCATATTGCCATAGATAATTAAAATGGTTAGAACGAATTTCAACATTCATTTCCAGCTATTTGCATGAATCTGCATAAATTTAGGCCATATTACAGACATGTTGCTACTTATCTACTTCATTCCGTAAATACAACCTGGGCGAGTCTTGTGCTGTTCCTGTCAGGCCTTGGAGCAACATCACCATTACCATGTATAATGAATATTTAAAATTTGAACATAAGCAGTCATAGCAAGTAGAGATATGGCACTAGAACCACATTTGTTAAAACAAAATGGCCACCAGTCGGCCATTTAAAATACCAAAGACGTTAAGACGGGTAGAAGCCGTAAAACGTGTAACTGAGGTCAGTTACTCCCTAGACAGTTAGTAATAATGGTCTGATGTAGCTATGTACCAGTTTAGTAATTCAGTTAAGAAGTATTTGAAGATTATATTTGTATTGTTGAGGTGAGATCGCCTTCATGTGTCAATGTATTTCATACTTCAAGATACTGATGGTAATGCTACGTGAGGGACGAGTAACAATGATTAGTGTCTAATTAGAAAGCTATACACGTACAAGGGTGCGCCTATATGAGTAACCCAGACAATAGAGCAACCTACTACAGCCAGATCTGAAGGCCTTTGCCGCATTCTGGCCATGCTGTGTGGCGCGGATCGTGTGGACAGGTTTCATGTTCTCTGCACGTAATAAGCTCGGTTATTAAGCATCGTTCTATTTTTGGGGATGCCCGGTGGCCGAGGGGAAGACGTGTAGTTGCGTGAAGCTAGGCGATTAAGTGACGTACGCGAGTGCCGGTTCGAGTCATGCACGCAGTACGTGTTTACTATAATTTGACGTAGTATTTACCTTGCCATTTATTTGGTGCTGTTTGCTTACTTAACATCACCATTATATGGCTCTGATTTTCAAGGCTGTAGGGAGCAGTTATTCTTGCGCTGTCACTGCACTGAAATTCTTCGCAGCTCTAAAGCAAGAAAGGCATTCATTAATTGTATTGTATCTGGGTGATAACAGGACAAGTAATCATTCAAAAAAATTGTTGCTCTATTGTCAGGGTTGCAGCAGTGCACTTATTTTGTTGGACTGATTTGGCACAATTCAATTAAGACATGTCTGCACTTTTTTTTTCAGAATTAAGGGTATAGCAAGTGTAGTGAACCCCAGACAAGCTGATTCATCCAATGTGAGATGGTTGATATCTGCGTCTAGTGATGGATTTATTAAAATATGGACTGTTGATTTAGACAAGGTGAGTAAGTTAAAAACAAACAAACAACTCTGCCATGTACAATAGGATGACCTATCTTTGTAATAGGGAATGTTGACAAACTTGTATTATGCAAGTCACTCCCGCGAGTCGCAAAGATGTTGGTCAAGAAATGTTGAGACTGCTTATGTCAGAACAGATGCCTTTTCATGGCATGTTAACCAATAGACTATTTTCCCTGTTCTTTGTGTGATCTCATGAATTGAACGTCAACCTTAGAACAAATATTTGAATTAAACATTTTTAAAAAGCTGAGCCTGCCTTGCACAATAACACAGAATTGAATCAGTGAATTGAATCATAAATTTTACATTATATTGTTTATAACAGTTTAATTCTTTGAATGCCAAAACCAACTTTTATTTCACAAAATAATTTTTTCCCAAAAGATTATAGAAAAATGGGCAAAATTTTAATATGAAATGGCATATTCACTCTAAACTACACTGCTGTATTACGTCATTTTAAAAACATGCTACCAGTAAGATTTGAATATTTAGTTGAACGAGCAACATACTTGAATACTTTTATGTTCTCCCTTCAGATATCAAAGACTCCATCTCTTCTAACAGAAGTGCAAACATCTGCAAGACTTACATGTCTAGCAGCTGTTGTAAGGAAAGAAAATGTCAAGAAACTGAGGAAGAGCAAACGTAAAAGGAAAGAAAAAAATATTGAAGAGGAGTTAGTGATCAAGGAGGTAAAATTCCCTGTTAAGGAGAGTAAGAAGAGGAAAGCCATAGAAACAAAAGACGAGAAAAGTAAGGCTATGAAATAATGATTGTGATCAGCTTTGTACTTTCAATAATTCAGGCTACAGAAAATGAAGTCTAAATATTTGTGCAAAATACATATACCATATTTGCTCTATTAGAAGACTAGTACATCTCAAATACAAGCTCATATAAATCAGTAATTGAATTGATTGTATATAGTACTAAACCATTAACCTTTTCACCACCAGTTACCTTTTTTAGTCCCAGTTTGGACGCAGTCCGAAAACAGGGACTTATGTTTTGACCTCCATGCGTCCATATGTGCATCTGTGCATCTGTGCGTGTGTCCGACCCTGTATCTTAGAAATGCCTGGACCAATCACAATCAAACTTCACACATACATCATACATGATATTATACATATGCACATCAATTTGTTTCATGATCGGATTTACGACCGCCGAATGGCAGCCATTTGTATTCTAAACATCATCAAAATCAAGCATTTCTCAACTGTTTACAGATGGATTTTGTTCAAACGTTGGACATTATAGGACCTTGATGCACATCATTTTGTTTTCTGATAAGATTCA